AATATCAAAACACTAAATCCCCACTAAGTATAAAAACTACTTGCTTCCTTATGACACGTTTCCATTTGGGCCCCATTTCTAAGCAACACGAGTGGAAAACAGTCGTCTTACCCCACACTGAAATATTGTCTCATTTCCTGTCTGCGGGACCTCATGATGGCCTTGTATTCGCCAATACGCAGCTTCTTGCCGTCCACCAGGCAGGTGCGTTTGGGCCGTGGCTTGTACTTGTAGTCTGGGTACTTTTCCAGATGCTGCTTGCTGAGGCGAGCTTGCTCCTCGTAGTACGGCTGCTTCTCCAGGTTGGTCATGGCTTTCCAGCGTGAGCCTGGACATGGGGAGAGAGAGGGGAGGAAAACACTATTAAGGATCCCATCGATCTGTTTCGGTCACACAAGAGGAGAAAAACACAGGTGCAACAGGCGAGTGTAACTGAAGCACGATAAGACAAAGCAGTAAATGTTAGAACAAACCATTAAAGAGGGTTGTGATTATTGTACAGGAGCAGGATGATAAAAATCTGTTTTGAGGAGGTGATTTAATTTGAGCTCGTACGTCGGTGTGGATAATCAATTACAGGTACAGGAGGTACAAATGTCACATATCACATGTGCATACTGTCACTCAGTTGAAACACACACACACACACATACACACACACACACACACACACACACAGATAATGGTGGAAGTTTCACCCGGTGAGGAGAACGCAGATCTGGGAAAGCGAGGTTAATGAGCAGAACAGCGAGGACGACAGGTACTCATCTAAACTAATGAGGACTTCACTTAACCTGCTGCCATCTCTCTGAGCTCAGTTTCTGCTCATAGATTTGTACCATCAGTCCCCTGCATGTGTGTGTGTGAGTCTGTGCGCGTGTGTGGGTGTAATCTTGAGCATGTCTTTCCCTGTGTGTTTCATATCTGGGCTGAATTTGCACTTGACTACTGTATGTTTAATGGGTAAAAGCTGTCAGCACTTGGCTGTTCTCGCTCTGCTTTTTGTCTGTTCTGCGATCTGTTAGCAATCGAGAGACAGAGGGGGGAGAGGGAGAGAGAGAGAGAGAGAGAGCTTATTAAAACCAGATTTCCCTGTGTTATAAAACGCTTAGGAGCTCTTTAAAATGTCAGGGCCGATCCCGGCGGTCCGGGGGAAATGTCAGGCGGCCTCGCGCTGCTTGTTTAATGCATAATGAATTATATCATCATTTGTCTGAGCCGCGCTCTCCCCAGCCGTTCATTAACAGCGGCTTACACAATGCTGCTTGTAAGGAAATCACTGCAAGCTTATATTTGTGTGTGTGTGTGTTTGAGAAAGTCGGAATCATAACCCACAGTGCATGCATCTTCCTTTGTAGTGGTGACAGAGGTGAGACAAAGGCTACTCAGGCCTGTGGTTGGGGATGTGTGTTTTACCGAGGATTTTGCTGATGTTGGAGTTGTGCATGTCAGGGAAGGCCTGCAGAATCTTTCTCCGCTCGTCCTTGGCCCAAACCATGAAGGCGTTCATTGGCCGTTTGATGTGCGGCTCGCTGCTGCCGCCGCGACCCCGGGCCTCCCGGAATATCCTGGAGTCGGACACACTGGGGGAGCCTGAGGGTGGAGGAGACGGAGGGAAGGTGTTATGGAGAGAATATAGAATACAGACGTAAATTAGGTGCTTTACTAATCCTAACCCCTTTTTATGACATTCTCCTAAGGGCAAACCAATGATTTTTAAATTTATTTGATATTAATTCAATACGTTTAATTCTTATGCTTGATGGGTTAAGAAAATCCTGTTGCTTCTTAAAGATATTA